TGGGGCTCGAAGATCTGCTTATTAACAGGTTGTTGATCCCTGTGAGAAGCACAGATTTAAACCTTTATCTAGGACACGGCATGCTAGGCTATTCTAAGAGTATGTGCACGCCTCTGGTAGTTGTAAAGTGGGAGAAAAGTTGAGAGAATTCCTGCTTTCCTTTAGGGAGACCCAGCTCATCTCCTGACCAATGGACCTCATGCACTGCCACCACCCACAGAAACCTAGGTTCAGAGTAACAAAGACAAAGAATAAAGGCCTGGAAATCTACTTCTGAAAATCCTATGGATCACAAGAGTCCAGTCTCAACACAGGAAGGGTGTAGCACCAGGCAGCGTTCCACCACTGTGCCTCCACTGATAAGGCAGGGCTGACCTCAATCTTTAACAGAAAGCTGCCAAACAGAGTCTTTGTCAAGGATACCGGGGTGTGTATGTGAGGGAATGAAGGGAAAAGGGTGCTATCAGCATGCGGAAGGGCTGGGAAAAGCAGCTGGTTCTTGCCCCATGAGTCATCCCTGACACCTGAGGGCTGTGACCTTCCTCTGTCCCCCAGAGTCACCAGAGATGCTGGGATGTGGAGAAACGTCAACAGAGGTCAGGGGACAATGGGGCTTCAACTTATTCCCTAGATACGGTCAACCACCTAGAGAGGTTGGCTGAACCCACCCATGGGCATGCAAGTCTTGATGGTCTGGTTCTTTAACCATGACAGCAAAGAAAATTCTATGGAGCAGTTCTGTTCTGTAACACATGGGGTCACTATGAGTCAATATTAACTCAAAGGCAACAGGCTTTTTGATTATTTGAGTTTTAAAAAAGACTTAGTAAATCACTGTGATGCTAGTCAAAATTGATCCCTATTGTGTCAGGAGCTGACCATTAAAATGGCAGTATTAAATCTGGGTGAGGTAGCCCACCTTACACAGGAGTGTTTGAAACTGGTATGTATGTAAGAGAAAGAAAGGGATTGAGGGAGAAAGAGAAATACGTGGTATATGGAAAATGTTTTATTCAAGGGTTTACTTTAAGCTATGGGAATTTAAGACATGTTGTTAGATGCCAACAAATGAATTGACTATAACTCCTATGAACAACAGATCAGGACCACACCCCATCCTGCATTATTTTTATGATCTTTGATATTCTTGACCCCATTGCTACAGCCACTGTGTCAATCCACCTTGTTGGGGTCTTCCCCTCTTCCTGTGACCCTCCGTCTTTCCTCCCACGATGCCATCAGAACTCATTTTATTTGTCTTGCTATCGTTATGTGCCATCAAGTTGGAAATGATGGTCAAAACCATGTTTATTTAAAGCCATAAAACTGAAGGGCAGAGTTGGACCCAGTTATATTTGAAAGTCTCCAAGCTTGAACTTAAGCACAGAAAGTCTTGGTTTGATTCCTAACGGGGACACTTTCGGTAAAATCGAGAAGATGACTCCTGCCATATTCCTCCCCTAATAAAGTTGTTGTGATGATAAAGTCAGAAATCGTTTGCTATTGGTGAAGCCCCTGAATGACTCTGAATATCTGTGCAGAGGCTAAATATCGTTGTTAGCTTACTTGCTTATGGTGCTGTTTTTGAAGGTCAGCAGGTAATCTGTCTATGGGACAAATTCTGAAATATGGTTAATAAGAGAAATTATACCGGGCATGACCATTTTAATTAAATGCACCAAATGTTGGCCCCTGTGTAACTCTTTCAAAATCAATTACATAAATAATCAGCAAAGAAACAGGTCACTATTGGCTAAATTACCACAACTACATTTTTTTTCTGTCACCCTCTCCAACCCCTTGCCTCATCTACAGTTATTAAGATCAAGTTCACTGCTAACAATCTTGACAGGAGATAAATCTGGAAAGTACTCAAATCTGATGGGGTCGGTCATCTCTTTTTTGCCAATTAGCACTGTTAATCATCTTGGATCCAGGGATAACGTAGTCTCTCTGGACTTCTCTGGAAATTATCAATAAATCAAAAGGGGGCACAATATTTAAATACTCAGGGAAAACAAAATGCTGGTTGGTCTAGATTGGACAAACAACAGGAAACCCACCAACTGTCCTTATTAAAACCTTCAAAGAGGGGCCATTACGAAGCACTCAGGTGCCCCCAGCAAAATGCAGTGATTCCATTCAAGTTCCTTCTACCTCTTCTCTAGTCCCTGCCTCCATGGCAACAGACACTGACCTGCCCTTAGGGGAAACGGAATCTCTGCCAAGACTCAGACTTTTAATAATTCCACCTGTCAATACAGGTCAGAAGAAAATGGATGGATTTGTACCGAGTTACTTAACAAACCTAGTAACAACATAAGTGGCCCCAGCAAGTGAACAGGCCCAGCGCTCAAGGCCCTGAGGAAAGCTAAAGATCCGGTCATTAGTGTCCACAGAGCTGGTACCCCCAATGCCTGTCCATCAAAATCCTTGCCTGCATGTGGACGTCACTCTTCAATAGTTTATGTATTGACCTCAGTCCAAGAAAAGTGTCCCAAGTGGCTTGTTCAAAGTAACAACTGTTCATCTGATTATTAATGTGCCCAAGAATTTAATTTTAATGAATAAATAAAAAGAACCATAAAGAACTTGTGCTGTGCTACGAGTTCCTTCTAGGAATATTGTGTAGAAATATCTGTTTTATTGTCTAAAATTTTCTCTGGAGGGAGACATGGATTGAAGAAGTGTGGAATATCAATTCTGATGCTCAGGATCTTAACTCTCATCTCAGATAAGAACACATTCACATTCTTTCATTCTCATACTCTCTCTCTCCCTCCCTCCCCTCCTCTTGAAATGTTCTACTGTGCAGTCCCTGGTATGTAGGGGGACTGCATTTCTGGTAGCTCTGTTTTCTGATTGGAAAATACAAACATTGTTGCAGAGATGCATTTTATGAATTATCTTCCGATCTGCCACGGCTGGGCAAGGCAGCTTCCAGATGCTCTATTCTCAATTGCTTTGGAAGAGATTTTGTGAATAATGGAGGGGATTTTTTTTTTAGGCCCAAACAACCTCTGAATGTTGGGACCCACATCTTCCCTCTGCCTGTGCAAATGTAAGCAATCAGCCCCACCATTTCCCAGACCAATTATTTGAAAAAGAATAAACAGGTGCTTCAGAGGCACTGGAGGTATAAAAAGAAAATGGCAAATGATTTTTTCATGGGCCAGCTGCTCAGCTCTTGTAATGCAGGGAAGGGTCTTCCAGGCAAGAAAGCTCAATTAGCAAATCAATTAGGATCCTCTTCTCCCTCTAGACAACAGGACCACACTGCCGCCCTTTGCCCTCCTCCCCACCTCAGTGCTTCCCAGCCTGGCCCCAGCCAGGTGCAGGTTACACAAGGAGCAAGGGAAACTCAGGCAGGGGTTTTAGATTGACAGCACAGTGACCTTGTGCATGGCAGCATGAAGCTCTGCCCGGTTTGGGGGCTGCCCTTACAATCTTGGGGTGCTTACAGCCATTGTCAGAGTCACCCCGTGAGCTCTTCCCAGTATCCTGAGCACCTGCCAGCCTGAGGGCCTCATCTTCCAGATCTGCACTTATTTGCTAAGCTAACAACCCCACGTGGAATTGTTCACTCCAGTACAAGTCTGTGCTTGCCTCGCTGACTGGGGGCTCTGTTACCATCTGCCCATCTTATTGCTGTTAAGTCAGACCCTTCTCAAAGCTGACCCTCCAGTGAGTTTCCTGAGGCTGTAAATTGCATGGGAGGAGAAGCTCTGATCCTGTTGGGAAGGCGCTGTGGAGCTGTGAGATAAACAGAAGGCAGCCAGCCAGAGGAGCAGAATCTCAGATGTGGTGAAAAAATACGGAACTGTCCAGTCCAGGTCAGTAAGTGAGCAGCACAAAGGAGCCCATCTCACCTAGTTTAAGTGGGCTGTCTAGCTGTGCCCACCAGCTGGGAACGAGTCATTCAACCCGAGGTTCCTTTGCTTTGTCACTAAGGGTGGATGACTGGGGTGGGGAGCCTTCTAGATTAAGGATTAGCACGCCCAGAAGGAGCAGTTGTTGTTGTTGTGTACCATAGAGTCGGATCTGACCCACAGCTGACCCTCTGGCGGGTTTTCAGAAGCAGTTGGTCATACTGGAGGAGACTGTCCATCCTTCTCCCATGGAGCAGCTGGTGGCATTGAATCATGTGATTTGCAGCGCAGCTTCTTACTGTCCTCACTACTCACTTGTTTTAGAAGCTGGGCTCTGGATGTACTGAATGCAGGGTTGGTTCTTGGTTTGTTTTTTCCCCCCCAGTGGAAAACAGGACCAGGCAAAGCAGAAGATGCATTCAACAAAGGGCCCCTGTCACAGGGTCAGTGATTGCCAGGAAAGGATGGTCAGACCTCCGTCAGCTCATGTCTCCACGCACATCCACCCTTCACAATCACCCATTTACAGATTCTCTGATCCTCAGTGATGCATAAACTCTTCATCTGGGGTCACAGGACAGCCAGACTTCCCAGGCCTCCCAGTGTCACCACCACTGCCCTACATCTGTCAGCAGAATCTTTATCTAGGGAAAGTCACCTTCAAAAGACCACTGACCTATGGAATTCCAGACAGTCACCTAATCCTGACAGAAGCCACACAAAACCCAGCAATTCAGCTAGCTGCGGGAACTGTAGATGGAGCCAGTAATACTTCAAATAGTAATTAATGACCAGTGACTCTTTTCATCATACACCACTGAAGGACATTTCCCCCCAGGCCACACAACCAATTTAAGTATCAGGATAATTACTGAAGACCTGGCTTCACTTCTACCGGACTATGGCTTGGAGGAGATCATTGATCATCCAGGCCTCAGTTTCCTCAGCTATAAAAAGAGGGAATTGAACTGAGAGACTTCTAAAGTCAATTTTAATAAGGGTTGGATTTTTTTAGAGTGGGATGGGTCTTCTCCAAAATTCTAGCAAATCACACACATAATTGATCACACAGCTATCCACCATAGTTCTGCATCAGAAAGACGGGGTCCTTTGCACAAGCCTTTGACTTACCTTTTCCACCGCTGAGTGTTCCTCATTGGCAACACTCGCTTTCCTGGATTCGTTTTTCGACCTGCTCAGCCTCCTGGACACCTTTTCTCTGAGTAAAGTGGCATATCCGATGTGTTCATAAATGGGGTTTGTTGTCATCTTTGAAATGTATTCAGAAGCCTTGGTTTCTATGTACAGTGTTATCAAGCCATCTGTCACCAGATCGTGAATGGATTCAAATCTCTTCTCTCCCACAAAGTGCTTCCCATCATAGAAGAGCCTGTAGTTCAAGGTCTGGTTCCCGAACCTGCTCCAGAGAGAAGGAAAGATTGTAATAGCAGAGTACCCTACGTTTCCTGCTCAGTGGATGGAGATTCAGGGGTGCAGGGGGAGGAGCTGTACCGAGCTCCCTGAAGGATCATTTCAAAGCTCAGGAACCTAACCTTCGGGGTCCCTCCCTTAGGGGCTGGCTCTCCCCCTCTACTCTGATACTAAATCTCAGCCTTGTCTGAATCTATGAAGACACTTCATCTCCTCCTGGGGCCCTGGGACACAGAAAACGAACACTCTACATCACTTGATAGCTATTAGAATATTGTCTCAAAACACTATTAATTAAGATGTGCTCTACACGTGCCCAGCTGAAACTTGGGAAGTGTCTTTACACACTCCCAATATGGAGCTGTTGTTGTGTACCATTAAGTCAGATTCCACTCACAGCTGACCCCCAAGCTGGTTTTCAGAGACTTTAAATCACATGGAGGAGATTACCCATTTACTCCAACAGAACAGCTCATGGAGCTGAATCACATGGAGTGCAACTTCTTACCAGGAGGACACCTGAGTTCCCAAATACAGAGTTAGTGCACTGAATATGCCTTCGTGGCTGAATCCAGTACATTTCGCATTTATAACTCCTTCTATGGAGAAAACAGTCTTTCCAATCCCAAAGAGTTCCCAAACTTGTGGAAGATGATCTGATTCATAAATTGAGACCTTCCCCAAATCTTGTAGGATTTACCACGAGGACAAAATAAAATTGCATAATTGATTGTGTAGTAAATTCTTTGGGGTGCTGTGATTTCCCATATGTGTGATTTTATACTAAAATGCCTGAGAGGCCCTTACATGAATGACTCACTGGCATGAAGTGTCGTAACTACCACTCTGAGCACTTTGGGTCCTAACAGACCAAGTGCTCTCCCTTCTAGGCACACAAAAACTGGGGTGAGAAGTTCAAGACTACTGGGACCTGGGGTGTCCAGGAACACTGACTTTCCAGCTAGCTTTACAGTTTACTCTGTGCCCATAAATATGCACCTCTGGGTTCACACAGACATCTGTTGGTGCAGATGCACACACACATACAGCCCCTGATAGGTTGCTGGGGCTTTGTAAACAAAGGGGAAATAAAAATAAAGCGACTAAGACAAGGGGTGAGAGGGGCTTACCGCAGAGCTAGGGTGTAGCACCCTGGCTGCCGCTGGCTTTCTCGGAGGATGTAGGCCCCTTCCACGCCTCGGAGGAGCTCGTCAGCCTGCTCCCGAGAGATGATCCCGTGGAACCTGGAGGAGAGAAGACAGGAGTTCTCTGAAAAAAGGAGATAAGAGAAGACTACCTATAGGAGAGAACAGAACCTGCCGTAGCAGTGAAGCTGGCCAGCCACTTTAACTTGCATTTGGCAGAGACCCAGGGGCAGGCAGGAGAATGAAAACACTTAACAGTGAAAAAAGGGGAGGCTTCACGTGTGCCCCGACTGCTAGGCGGCCAGCTAGAAGTGGGGCATTCTATGTGGTGTTGGAGTACTGAATATACCATGGACTGCTAAGAAAACAAACAGGTTTGTCCTGGAGAGGGTGAAGGCAGACTGCTCCTTGGAGGCAAGGATTCTGAAGCTTTGTCTGACATATTTTGGACATGTTGCAAGGAGGGACCAGGTCTTGGAGAGGAACATCATGCTTGGGAGGGTGGAGGGACAGCACAGGAGATGAAAACCCTCAATGAGCTGGATTGATTCAGTGACTGGGGTGGGGGGTGGGGGGTAAGTGTGCCGGAAATGGTGAGATTGCCACAGGATAGGGCAGAGTTTAGGGCTGTTGTACATAGGGTCACTATGAGTCACAGACGACTCAATGGTACATAACAACAAGAAGAACAATGTACTGTGGAGTTGGAACCAACTAACAGTTGACCCTCCAGTAGGTTTTCAGAGGCAGTAACTTGGAATTGATTGCTCATTTTTCTTTCACAGAGCAGCTGGAGGATTTGAACCATGTGCCTTTGGGTTATCAACACAACTCCTTACTACTCAGGCACCTAAGCTCCCTACGTGGTTGATTAGGGAAGAATACTTGACTTTTTCTGGTTGGTACTACTTGGAGGTGGAGACCAAAACTAGGGAGACTGGGAGTCACTGGTTGATGCTTGGTATCCTGGGCCGGTCACCCCAGAGGCTGCGCGTCAGAGTCCTACTGTCATGGATGATCTGGCCACTCTGCGCATTCAATTTCTCAGAAGTTTGGTCTTCGAAAATCCCAGTCACAAAGGAGGGGAGAACAGCATCTACAGGCCCTGTGCAGTTGGATGAAGGGGGGGGGGGGAGAACTGTGCGCCTTGAATATGGACATGGAACCACCTTACAGCACACTCTTCAGCAGGAAACAGGTGTTCCAGGAGGTGAGCAGAAAGGTAGAATACCCAGGCCACCAGCTTTGAACTACTGTCTTTGCACACACGCTGAAAATGAAAGTCGACACACAAAAAAACCCAACTAATAGCCTCTTTCTTAAAAAAAGAACAATTACCAACTTAGCTCTCAGCACAAACACAGAGAAATGGGTATTATCCTGACTACAAATGAAGTCAACCTGCTTACCTGAAGTGCAGGGGGATGTTATTTTCGACAGTTCATTCTCAGAAAGAATAACAACAATAACATATATTCCTCTATTTCTTTACATTTGCAGAGTGTAGCTTAGGGGTACATCTGAAAAGATGTACCTACTCTCTTTCCCCTTGTTCAAGATAAAGCTTTCTTTGCCTCCAACAAAAGCATTTCACGTGCATGTAGAAACAGAGCATGTCCTGGGACGTTGGTCTTAGCCTTTGGCAGCTTTGGTTGGGAGGTGGATGGCTGAGGCTGGAAGCATGCGCAGGGACCCCAGGGAAGGGGGGTGCAAGTGAGAATTTTGGTCAGGGAACCAGCCCGTGTTCTCTGTTGCCTTCAAGCACAGACATCTGCTCAGCCCATTTCTAGAGCTCTACTCAGTCAGTGCTTCAAAGGGAAGTAGAGGGGCCGCCTTAGAGGCTGAGGCCAGAGCCAAGGCTCCTGGGAGAGGAAAGGGCACTTCCTTTCTAGAATTACTCATGCAATCCTGGGGAGCTTTGAGGAATAAAAACAGAATTCCTGAGCAGAAAACAACTTCTTGACCTCCTCAGAATTCACTCACTCATTGCCATCAAGTTGGAATTGACTGATAGTTGACCATACAGCAGGTTTTCAGAGGCTGTGAATCTCACAAGAGGAAACTGAACACATTTCCACACACATATCCCCCCTCCACCCCCGCTTCAGAGTAGCTAGTGGATTTGAACTGCTAGCCTTTGGGTAGACAGCACAACTCATTACCCAGTAGTAGGCTACAAAGCTTCCGAGAAAGAGAGGAAGGGGTTGAGGGGAATGAGGCAGAGAATTTATTGTCTCCCTAGGATTGCAAAGACTAGGTTAGAGGAGAGATTTAGCTGGATGGTATTTTGAAAAGGTATACATGTCACAAAATTTATTTTCTAATTCCCTTCTAGGTTGAAAAGTAGACCTTGAACTCTGCAGTTTTTATCTTAGAGTAGGGAGGTCAGTACAAAATGTGGCTCTGAATTCTAAAATCAGCTATAAGTCAGAAGCAGTGATGGCCTTAGGAGAATGGGCTCTGGCTTTTCAAGTCTTGGTTTTAGATGTTGGGCACTAAAGCCTGGAGGTCTTGAAGCGACTTTGCCAGAATTAGGGTGAATGCCACATGAAATAAGAGCCACACTCCTGCTCAGGGGAGCAAGGCCTCTGGTTCCCAGGAAGGGCTTTGGCCAGCTTCCAGGCTCAGTGGATCTAAGTGGACCCCACATTGAGTTAGGAGTGACACTGGATCTGGGGGGAAATCCATTGAGAGCAATTCTGGGGCAGAAGCGTTTGGGGCTCTAGTGCTTGTTTCTGAGTGTGGCCAAGGGGCCGATGACCTGTGCAGAGAAGCTGTCTATGTGCTTGTGGCAGGAAAGGCTGGACAGAGGGCCTGGGCAGACAGACTGGGCCCTGAGAATGGGTGGGAGAACGTGAATGTGCGTATATGGTTGTATGAGAGAGAGAGTGTCTCAGTGTGCGGGAGAGAATGTGTGTGTGTGTATGACAGTGTCTCAGTGTGTACGTGAGTATCGTGTGTGTGTGTGTGTGTGTGTGTATGAGGGTGTCTCAGTGTGAATGTGAGAGTGCGTGTGCTTATGAGAATGTCTAAAGTGTGAATGTGAGTCTGTGTGTGTATGGGTGTCTCAGTGTGTATGAGTGTGTGTGTGTGTGTATGAGAGTGTCTCCGTGTGTATGAGAGAGTCTGTGAGTGTGTGAGACAGAGTGTCTCAGTGTGAATGTGAGAGAGTGTGTGTGTGTGTGTGTGTATGAAGAGTCTCAATGTGACTGTGAGAGACAGTCTGTGTGTGCAAGTAAAAAAGAGTGTCTTAAGGTGAGTGTGCATGGATGTTGTATATGTATGAGAGACAGTGTGTCAGTATGAGTGGGTATGTGTGTGTATGAGTGTGTCTCCGTGTGAATGTGTGTGTTGTGTATGTCTGAGTGTGTGTGTGTGTATCAGACACAGGTGGGAGTTTAGTGTCTCAATGGGAGTGAAATGATTGGCCAGGAGAGCCCAGGAAGTTCGTCCTTGAATGAGATTTTATCCCAGATTGGATGAGAGAAGAAAAGTGATTTGCACATTTTATTCTCCCTCAGGAAGGTTCTGCCTGCCTTCTGTGCACTATTGTACACACAACTGTCTTACATTTTGAATTCTTTTTCTGATCATGAATAGATACTTTCTGAGGAAGTAAAACAAAACTGCAGTTGCACTTAGAAGGAAATTGGGGGAGATAATAACTTTAGTATTAAGGTAATTTGGCTAATACAGCCAAATCAAGGGAAATCATCAGTGTGGTTTTCTGGGACTGCACAGAAATGGATTCTCTTTCTTGAGTGCTGTGTTTACTGAGGTAAAGCCAATAATTTGGGTGATGTTTACAACCTTTGACACCCAAATGCTTGTACTGTATTTACATTAGGAAGTAAACTAAAACACCAACAGATCTTCAACTACAGGAAACTCTACCTTTCATTTCAAATCCTCCTCAGCACTCAGCTTTTGCTAGAACACTGTGGTAGAGACACTTCCCCTCCCACATGAATGGAAACCAAGCACCCGAATATTTCTCAGAAAATTCATTACAAAAGAAACTGATTGCATTTATCCTCACTATTAAACCCTTGCACAAGACATTTGTTGAAGACCATATATTAGAGAATTTTTAATGCTTAGTTTTAAATGACACACAAAATACTTATTAAATTATTAAAACAAAGAATAGTATAATACATACTCTCTTCCATAATATTTTGGTCTGTTTTCCACCTATATTAAAAAGAAGAAAAAAATTAATAATGCATTTGAAGTCAAACTTGCTAGATAAAAATATTACTCAAATAGATAGGGTTAGAATCCTAGCAATAACTTTATACAGTCTTTATTCCACAAATCAAAGATCTGTGAAGCCACAGAATTAACCAACACATTCCACTATTAGGAAATGACCTGGAATCAGCACATTTCTCTAATCATTAGGTTCATTAGAAAAAACAACAACAAACAAACAACAAAACCCAACTGCTGAGTGAAAACACCTTCAAAGAAAGCAAATGATACTTGTTTTAATATTAAGACATTTATAAAGACAGCATAAAGCTTTATCATAAAGGACAAAACGAACACTTCTTTCATGAACAGAATACAAGCATCTATTTTAATCTTCATTTCATTATTTCATCTTGCATTTAGGATTAAAACATAGAACACCTAGGTTATATATTAACACAAGTTTAATTTGGCCTCTTTCTAAATAAAAGCTATATCTGAAAATTCCCATTTACCAACAAATGGTTGATAGATTGAAATGAATTTGACACTGGAGGTAAAAGATACAGAAGACAAGATTTAAAATTGACTCAAAACTACAAACATTCCAGAAATGATTTTCCAACCACTGTATCAATCTTGGGATAATCATGTCGCATTGTTATCATATATACAATAAGCTGCTTGCACAAAAATGCTTATTGTCTTAAGTTTATGTTGCTGAAATTGGTGATACATTTATAAGAATCACCATGGTCTTTTGTTATAGTTTTACTTCTGGGATATTGAAAACAAAGTAGGGCCACATTAAGGTAGGAATTTATGCTGGCAGTTACAAGGAAGACAGAAAGTTTATATTTATATACTATAGTAGAATATTTGTCAGCTGTTTCATTTGCAGTCCCTTTTCTGTACAAGCTTTTTAAAAATGTTCTTTTTTTAAAAATTGTGAATTTAATGAAAATTTAGAGATATTTTGGGTTTACATTCATTCTGTGTTGGACATTTTCTTGCCTCTCCCACCCTTCCCCCTCTCCTGCTCCACTTTGCAATGCACCTCTTGTTCCCGGTTGTTGTCATACATATAATGCCTAACGATATGTCACTTTCAGACAGTTCTTCCCCTCATCTGTTCCAATGCGTATTCACTATTTATGCACTCTTTTCCTGCACACCCATGTTTGTTGCACCCACGTTTATTGCTGTATTATTCACAATTGCAAAGAGATGGAAGCAACCCAAGTTCCCATCAACAAACAGCTAGAAAATATGGTTTGGTTTGGTTTTTCTAAAAAAGAAAAGTGTCTTCTCAGCAGGACTCGTTGTGGGGGGGGGGGAGTGCAAGGCACTGAGCAGTCCACTGGTCTACCCACCTCCCCCAAGGATGCAGGGCCCCTGAGTGGGCAGCAGATCACTACAGATGAGGGGAAGTGGAAATTACACAGAGCCACGGCTCTAGGGACCACACTCACAATCCAGCCTAGGATAAACCCAACTGGCATAAAACTAATCATCTAGACACTTCTAAATGTGTGCTCACTGTTCTGTGCATTTTATACTTGGGAAGCAATGAACCAAGGAGAGACATTCATAACTCTTAATCTTCAAGGTTTGAAACCTGCTCGATGTCATTTCTGAAGGAAGATCTAAATAATACCATTAATAGAAGCACAAGGTGTGTAAAAAGGGACCTTGTCATCTTATTTCCTCTTTATCAAACCATTACTCTTCGTGCTGGTAAGCTTTTTAATAAGAATTCAACAATTTTCCATTTATCTAATTCTAGTGTCGAGTGAAGTTCTTTATTAATTTTATGTTTCTGTAGCTACGTAACTCAACCCCAGCCTCTCACAAAATAATTTGAAAACAGAAATGCCAGTGGAGTATATAGCATATAATGGACAAGGTATTTCTCCATTCTTTAGGAGACAATATTCCACATTTTTAAGTGATTATTAAAAAAACCCCACAACCAAACCCACTGTTGTAGAGTCGATTCTCACTCACCATGACCCTCAGAATGACCATCATAATGATTCTCATTCATAAGGACAGAGCAGAACTGCTCCAGAGGGCTTGGCAGGCGTCATCTCCGCAGAAAAGCACACTGCCACATCTTTTTCCTGCAGAAAAGCTGCTGGGTTCAAACCACCTACTTTTTTTGGTTCAAAGCCAAGTACTTAATCACTGTGCCACCAGAGTTCCTTGATTTTCTGTAAGCACATTCTTCTTTCCCTCTTTGTAGTCCAGCATAAGTTTGAAATATCTAGGTACAGTCCCTAGCCTTACTCCTTTTCCCTATCTTACTTTTCCAGAAGGGAGGAGCAATTACTTTGACTTCCTGGACTGATAGCCTGGTAGAGAGAGTCTCCTTCTAACAACTTGTGACAAGCAGGTAAGGATTTAATTAACGTCAGATTTTAATTATCTCTTAATGAGACAATGGACTTGTTCCAGTCCATCAATCATCACAATGTATGGTATATTTATGTTCAGGGTTCGGTGTTCCATTTCTTTTCTGTACCATGAAGTAATGTCCTTAGAGAACCAATGATGGAAAAGTCCAAGGGGTTCTAGGATGTCTCCACTTGAAAACCCACCCCAAACCTTCTGCCGTCATGTCAGTTCCAAATCAGGTGACTGCATGTGTTACAGACCAGGTGTGTTCCTCAGGGTTTTACAAAAGCATGTAACCAGGCCTTTCTTACACAGTGCCTCTGAGCACGTAGAAACTACCAACCTTTAGTCAAGTGCAAGCTTTGGGTACCCCCAGGGATCTTCTACATTTGCAGCAAGAAAGAAATATTTAAGGAGAACTCTAATGTAACCACAAAAACACAACTTAAACCCTCAAGTCAAAACCGACTCATAGCTGACCTTCCACTCATCTCCTAGGGCTGTATATCACACAGGAAAATGACCCATCTTTTCCCCTGAGGAGCCACTGATAGTTTTGAGCTGCCAGAGAGACAGGACCTTTTGGTAAGAATGCAGCTCCCTGTGGAATATGCCATCAGAGCTCCCTACTCTCAAAAGAGGATGTTGGTATCATGATGCCTTGAGGGATGTCAAATAAGGTCACGGCCAGAGGAGAGCTTGGCCAATTGGACAAATGTTCCATATACAATAACTTACAGGGCTTGGCTAGCTCAGTTGGTAGAGCATGTGACCCTTAACCTTGGGGTTGTGGGCTTGAGCATCACATTGGAATATAGAAAACAAGAGCATTAAATTATAAGGCAATTGAAAGATTGTATAAAACACAATGCACATGAATGAAACACAAAGTTTATTAACTATTGTATGCAAACCAAGAAAAAATACAAAAGATTTTGTGTGGTATAGGCTACACTTGGAATAGGGCCAGGGATAAACCCAAATATTTAATGGAAAGTGAGTAAAATATTATTCATTGTTTATCTGAAAGGCAAACTCAATTAGATACACATACTGGTTTTTCCTTCTCCTCCCACCCCCAAATGTGCACACCAGGCATAGGAGAAATGAAAGATGGAAGTCAGACAGTGTAAAGTTCAAGGTTAAGGTTGGCTATCCAATCACTGGCTCCCTGCTGTGTGGCCTGTTTGGATAGCTGTTTGATTCACTCTCTTCCCTTTATTGTCTCTGTCACTCTCAGAGAAAGAAGTCTATGTTCAGACTGCCTGAGTGTGCTAAGTCTCATCTGATCTCAGCAAAAACCATACGTGTTCTTGGTAATGTTAACCAGGTTGACAGTTTTGGAATAAAAAAGCTAAAACAACCAACAAACAAAAAATCCTTCATTTTTCTTAACTTTTTTGCTCTTACAGGAATCTAAACATAGTTTCTAACCTCTATTTCCCAGTAAACTTTGAACCAATCAGGAACTTCACTTTCATTCTAAGCTAAGTGATTTCCCAGTGCTCACAGAAGATCACATTTTACCCAGGATGGATAATATCAGGTCCTCAGATCCAGACAAAACAGAGTTGACCCAGTGACAAGAGACCTGCTTAAAAAGATGTCGTCACCTGTATGCTGTGACCCAGCAGGGGCTTTAAGAACCTGGCTCACTTGCCAGGTGGAGCACTGTATCAGTAGCTGATGGCAGTTGGGACCCATCTGTGAAATGAGGGTTTGTTTCATCAAAGAAGCCATAACACTAATATCTCTCTCTCTCTCTCTCTCATGTGTGTACCATCAAATTGGATCTGACTGGTACAGGAGGAGATTGTCCCTCCTTCTTCAGCAGAGCATCTGGTGGGTTCGAACCGTGCACCTCTGGGATTGCAGTGCAGCTTCTTGCCACTAGGCCACCAGATCTCGCCTGACTTTTAATTTTTAAAAGTACATGAACACCTTCAGTGATACCAATGAATGTGCATGAGCAAGAGGGCACTTAATACATAAAAAGGAAGGCGGCTCAGAAATTCACTGTGCATTCTCACTGGGAATTACGTTTGTTAATATCAGGCCACTTGATTGACAAAATAGAAGGATAACTTAGTGTTCATGAGGATGCAGACGGCGACCGACCATATAACCTATCTCAACATGAATGAAGGTTGACTCTGGAGCTTCCCTGGCACTGTGACTACTCGGGATAGCAGCTGGAGTCAGATACCCCTCATTGTGGATCATGGTGAGCCCGGTCACTGTGGGCATGGATTACAGGAACTGGATCCTCCATGCCTGCTCTTGGGATGTAGCTCCACTCCACGAAATGAAGCAGTATGCCTTTTAAAGAACCATAGCAAGTGAGCTTTGGTGCCATGATGGGTAAGAGTTGTGCTGTCAACCCTAAAGCATGCAGTTCGAATCCATCAGGTGCTCTGTAGGAGAAATATGGGCAATCTCTTCCCAGCAATTTACAGCCTCTGAAAACCTACTGGAGGGCCAGGGTTGGGCTTGTGTTGATGGCACTTAACAACAGAGCCGAGGTAGTAATATATAGAGAAATGCACACTGGATCCTCCAATTATGGCTACTTAGTTGTTTTATCCAACTCAGAAAGGAACATT